AACCCTCTCTTGAAAAATAAAAAGTTTAAGGGCAAGGGATATAGCTCAAGTAGTGACCATTAGAATCCCCCAGCCATGGTTAAGAGCAGTGCTACTCTTCCAGAGGACCCTGGTTCAACTCCCAGCACCCACATGGCAGTTCACAACTGTCTGTAACTCCTCTTCCAGGGGATCCGATGCCCTCATACAGACATTCATGCAAGCAATACACCAGAGTATATAAAATAAAAATAAATTATTTAAAAGAAAAAAAGAATACCCCAGTGAGGGGCTAGGGGCGTGGTCGGGGTGGAGCCCCTACCTGGAATCCCAGTGAGGGGCTGGGGGCGTGGTCAGGGCGGAGCTCTGCCTAGAATCCCCCAGTGAGGGGCTGAGGGCGTGGTCAGGGTGGAGCCCCGCCCAGAATTCCCCAGTGAGGGTCTGGGGGCGTGGTCAGGGTGAAGCCCCGCCTAGAATCCCCCAGTGAGGGGCTGGGGGCGTGGTCAGGGTGGAGCCCCGCCTAGAATCCCCCAGTGAGGGGCTGGGGACGTGGTCAGGGTGGAGCCCCGCCTAGAATCCCCCAGTGAGGGGCTGGGGGCGTGGTCAGGGTGGAGCCCCACCTAGAATCTCCATTGAGGGGCTGGGGGCGTGGTCAGGGTGGAGCCCCGCCTAGAATGCCCCAGTCAGAGGGTGGCACTGCCCCAGTGGGGAAGACAAACCTCATCATCTAATCCAGTACCAGCAACGGTGGTGTCCAGAGCTGGTAACAAGGTCTGACAGCAGGGCCTTCCCGTCTGCAGCTCTGAACACACCTGCTCCTTTCTCTTCTAGACCCTGAAGAATCGCTGGCTTCAGCAGTACAGCCACGAATCGGCAAACCCAGGCATTCTTGTGCTACTGGCCTGCGGCACCATCTCCAGCACCTGTGGCCAGATTGCCAGTTACCCCCTGGCACTGGTCCGGACCCGAATGCAGGCCCAAGGTGAGAGGCCTGGACGGGAGGCTGGGGTAGGAAATCCTGCCACTTGGGTCCTACCTAAGTCTGTGTAGGCAGAGTCTGGGCTGGGTTCCTGTGGGTGGGTGGGTGGCCTCCGTAAGTCCCTCCTATTGTCTGGGCTGCAGTCTACCCAGTCGTGATGCTAAAGAGGCAGTCTTTCACCACAGACAACACTGGCGTTTCTGGGCCTGCAGTAACCTGAGCTGTTAGTCAAAGCTGGATGAAAACAAGGGACGGGGGATGCTGGGAACATTACCCAAGTTAGCCAGTCAAGGGACGACAGTGTCTTTATTCTTATTTTATGGCACAAGGTCTAACTATGTGCCCTAGCTGGCCTGGAACTCACAGATCTGCCACTGGCCCCGCCTCCTAAAGGTGTGCATCCCCACACCCAGCCTTAAGGACAGCCTAGCTGCTGTGTTTTGTTTTTATTTCAAGATTTTTTTTTTTAAGATTTGTTTTTATTTCTGCACACATGCATGCATGTGTGCGCGCGGGTGTGGCTGTGGGTGTCTCAGACACCCACAAAGGCCCATCAGACTCCCTGGAGCTAGGTGTCACGTGCATGGGTGCCAGAAACTGTCCTCTGGAAGAGCAGGAAGCTCTCTTTCCCACTGAGACATCCCTCCAGCCCTTGAGTTTTGCTCAAGACAGAGGATTGCTATGTCCCAGGCCGGGCTGGAACTCAGGGCAATCCTCCTGCCGCAGCTTTTCCACTGTTGTTTTTCCTCTGTATCTTTCTCCCTGTTCCATTTCCCCGGAATCTGTTTACGTGAACCTTAGAGTCTGTGTTCCTTGGTTTTTGCTGGAGAAGCGATTGGCGAATGAGATGAATGCATGAACTTCATCCTCTGGGGAGGGGGAAGGAGGCTGCATAAATCATTCCACGATTGAGGGTTGATTTAGGGTTGAGGAGAGGTAGGAACCTGACTTAGATTAGGGTACCACAGATGGCTCCCCTAAACAGAAGTTAGCCCTGACGAGAGGGAGAAAATTAACTTTAAGGAAGTGGGGATTTCTCTCCTCTTGTCTCACTCAGACACACACCTGCACACAGACACACTCCCACACAGACACACTCCCACACAGACACACTCCCACACACAGACAGACACACTCCCACACACAGACACACTCCCACACACAGACACACTCCCACAC